AGTATAAGTTTTATGGGAATCTGCATATATGAGACTTCAGTGTAGCAGGACAAAAATCCAGTAGCCTTGTGAAAGAATGCCCTTACTCTGTAATGTTTATAAAATCACACCGTTTTCATATCGGCAGGAAATTAAACACTTGAAAGTAGGTGGAACTGAACAATAATAGAGAATGGACATACAGTACTTTTAAATTTCTCTGAGTCATCTATTGCCAACAACATGAATATATTCTTCATGTTACTTTTCTTTGGCTATAGTTATTTATTTATTTATTTTGGGTTGGCTGGTTTTGGAATTTATTGTTTTCTACCCACGTCTGACATAACTCCAGTTAAAATGTGTTGAGTCATAATGTGAAAGTCAAAGAAAGTAATGCCTAGAAACAAGAAATCAAGAGTTTTAAATACTCATTATAACTGAAAGGACTTTGCCTTTCAGTCTTAATGGAAATCATGTCTACTATTCTGAATAAAACCAGGTAATTGTCTTGAAAGGCTGTTTTCTTTCATTATTACCATATTGAAATTAGATTTAATGTCTCTTAATATAACTTAAACATTACAAATATTTTTTGGGGAAAATAGGTTTGGCTATGATGAAGAAGAAAGAAAAAAGGTTTTGCCAATAGCTTTTTTTTTTAATATATATTTTAAGAATAGTCAGTGTTTCATTCAGAGAGATTAGTTTTCTCCATATAGATTCATGGACTCAGTCTCTTTATTCCTTAAATACCTTTCTCAGTGGATTCTTTTCTCTTTTTACTCCATGTCTTTGCCACTTAGTTATGTATTTTAATATTGTGCCTTTTATATGTCACTTCTCTTCACCATCCATTTTCCTCCCTATCTGTCCCAGATCCTTCAGGACACTTGATTTTGCTGCCTCTTAGTACTCTTCTGTTGCCTTCCTGGAATGGACAGGAAATAGACCATACTGATTTTAGCTTTTTTATATGACAGGAGCCCTGGTGGCGCAGTGGTTAAGATCTCGGTTGTTAACCAAAGGTTGACAGTTCGAATCCACCAGCCACTCCTTGGAAACCCTATGGGGGCAGTTCTACTCTGTCCTATAAGGTTGCTAAGAGTTGGAACTGATTCAACGGCAATGGGTTTAGGTTATGTGACATTATCTTGATTTCTTTTCTGCCAATTCAAGGAAAAGGAACAGTATAAAAGCCATTGTTCAATGGGTAGCACCTCATTAGGGAACAGGCTCACAAATTAATTTATTTGAAAACTTATGGACAAGGCATTCCACCTTTAGACTTACATAATAGCACTTTGAATTTTCCCTTAATTTTGTTTTAAGATTTTAAGCCAAGAAACAGAGACAAAGACATTTCCCCTTAATATTAAAAATGAATCCTAAATCCCATTACATTAGTGTCAAACAACATAGTATTTTTCATAGCTATTTGATAGAACATGATATTTAAAAGTGGAAAAAGCCATTACGCTGCCATGTATTTACAGTCTATGTAAGATGTGTTTGTATGCATATTTGAAAGGAGAAAATTATTACCTTATTGATAACTATACTTTCTTTAAATTTAGGCAATAATGTTGAAGTCCTCATGAGTGGCAATGTCAGGTGTTATAATATTGTGGTAGAAGCTATGAAAGCATTTCCTATTAATGAAAAAATCCAGGAAATCAGTTGCTGCTTGCTCCATAGGCTTACATTAGGTGAGTTATGATTCTTGCTTAATTTATTGCCACAGATCTATATGATGTAAGTATAACATATGTATGTTATATGTTGATGGATAAGTAGCTTATTGATATACACTGCATGGAAATATGGTATAGTAGCAAACTGTTCTGTCATGTTTTGATGGAATTTTAAAGGGAATGACAAAAAAATAGATCTCATGAATGAAAGAAGACTCTTATTTTATGAAGAGGTAATTAAATATGAATGCTTTATTATTAGGGCCATTTTTTTTTCATTTTTTTAATGTGCTTTAAATGAAAGTTTACAGTCCAAGTTAGTTTCTCATACAAAAATTTGTACACACATTGTTATGTGACCCTTATTGCTGTCCCTATAATGTGATAGCACACTCCTCCTTTCCACCCTGGATTTCCCATGTCCATTCAACCAGCTCCTGACCCTCTCTGCCTTCTAATCTCGCCTCCAGACAGGCACTGCTCATTTACATTCATGTGTCTACTTGAGCTAAGAAGCACACTCTTTACAAGTATCATTTTATGTCTTATAGTCCAGTCTAATCTTTGTCTGAAGAGTTGGCTTTGGGAATGGTTTTAGTTTTGGGCTAACAGAGAGTCCGGGGGCCATGTTTTCCGGGGTCCCTCCAGTCTCAGTCCGACCATGAAGTCTGGTCTTTTTACTAGAATTTGAGTTCTGCACCCTACTTTTCTCCTGCTACATCAGGGACTCTCTGTTGTGTTCCCTGTTAGAGTATGAGGGCCATAAATAAAACAGAATAAGCATAATTTATATAGAAAGGGTGAAGCATAGTGTAAAAATAACTCACCTCTCAATTTAAGTATTATTATATTACCAGTGATCGTGAGGCTACCTTGGATTCCTTCCTCCTCCTGCTTTTCCTTCAGAGGTTAACCCTTTCCAGAATTTTGTCTTTATGAATCTTTTGCTTTCTAAAAATAGTTTTACTACATTTGAATGTATTCTTAAACAAAATTTTTAAAATTTGCTTGTTTTTGCTTAATAAAAATTGAAGTACTTATATTGAATGCTGTTTTCAGCAAAATGTTTTCTTTTGTTCGTTTTTACTTAACATTATAAGAATCATAAACATTTTTGCATGTAGCTGTATGTAGTATTCTATTATATGAATATACCACAATTTACTTATGCATTCTCCTATCCATGCACATTTGGGCTTGTTTCAGTTTTAAGCTACTACCAATTATGTTGCTATGGACATATAAATGAGAATGAATCTCTTTTCAAATATTTCTTTGCCATTGGTGCTTCCTCCTTTGTAAAATACCTGATCTGTCTTGTATCTGCTTTTTCATAGAATAATCTCTTTTAAAAATTAGTTAATGTATTCTAGATAATAATGGTTTGATGGTTGGTTAAATGTATTGAAAATATCTTCTTTTGATATGTGGCCTTTTCACTATCTGTATAGTAGCTTTTATAATGAGATCAAATTTTTTCTCCCCCCCTTTTTTGATTCTAGCTTTTATTTCTTTAATCATTCCTACCTAGCTATTCTGTGTTCACTATCTGATAATTCCCATATGTGAAGTTCTTGAGAGTCTAAATCCACTGTTTCTACGCTGCCAGTCACTCATGGAGGCTTGCTTTCTTGATGTTAGATAATGGTGCTTGTGAGTTTCTGTTTCGTTGAGCTTAAACTCTGAGAATTCTGAGGACCAAAATTACACAGGCTCCTCCAGAGAAGATTTATGTTTGCCAGGAGCCAGGGCACAGGACTGATATGGAAGCACTTTAGGATGTATTTGAGGTCTAGGCTTAATGTGGGTGACTCTGGTTGAGCTCCCCTACCTTGGAGGGAATCAAAGGCTATTCTGCTGATTGCAGTGCCAGAGCCCACACTTCCACAGGGCTACTCTAGCTGCCTTGTCCATTTGCTTTCAATTCATAGCTCTTATTTAAACTCCCTTCCTCCAACCCCCGTTTGGCAATTTCCTTTATATTTTTTGTGAGCAGAGAAATGCATTAAAATGTAAAAGGTTAATGAATATGTTTGATAGGATCATTAACTGTTGGAAATTGGTCTGATGCCCTTTCCCAAAAAAGAATCACCAGAGATTTTTATTTTTTTGGTAAAATTAGGATTATTATAACAGGCATTTAGCTTTTAATCACTACAGCTTTGGTAAATAGTCATCAGTCATTTGAAAAAAAACTAATTTTCATGATTTCATTGTAGCAATTCCTATTTTCACTTCTGGAATCATGACTACATCCCTTGCATAATTCAGAAATGCTTTTAGCATTAGGAAATTCTTGGTAGTTGTGGTTGAAATGGAATTTTCATCAGTTGAATTCTATTTTATATGCACCACTTCATTTTGTTATTTCTTTCCATGATAAGCATTTATTGAATGTTCATTATATGACTAAAACTGTGATAATATGATAATAATAGCTTAAGTTTATGCATTTCTTCCATAGTGGTTTCATATATATGATTTTTTTGTTTGGTTGTTTTTTTGTTGTTTATCCTTGAAACAATCCCGGGAAATGGGTAGTTGATATTGTCTCCACATTTACAGAAGAGGACCTGTGGTTCAGCAAGTTTGTGTGTCTTATTTGAGTTCATGTAGCCAGTAAGGGGTGCAGTGAGGCATCCTTTCTGCATCGCTAAGCAAAACAAAGCATTCTTCTAAAATGTAGTTGTCATTTTCTAGTTGATCCCTTTCATGAGATGAAATTTTTACTCATTATATTTTCATAAAGTTGGACACAGTTGTATAAATTGGCTGATAATTAAAAATGTTTTAATCTAATTCAAAGTTGATTGTTAAATCTTCAGCAGTACACTAATGTGTAAGTCTTTGTTTCATGTTCTACAATTTACCACCATCAAGTTACAACTTGCACAACTTATATTAAAAATGTGAGTTCACCTTAATCCCTTTAAATGAGCCAGAGGACGAAGTAGTTTTACCGTCATGATTAGGAAAATGGTACTTGATTACCAAATAGGTCCATAGGGTCACATTAAAAGTGATTGATATTCTACGATTGAAATTAAAGAAGCCAAGAAAACTAGCGTATGGTATTTAAGTTTTGCATTATTTTGTAAGTTTTTTTCAAATAAAAAGCTATCAAACTGATCTTCAGATACGTATGCTTTTTTTCTTCTCATGTATCTCTTGCTTTTGTTTGCCATTGAGTTGATTCTGATTCACAGGGACTCTATATGACAGAGTAGAGTAGCCCCATAGTGTTTCCTTGGCTGTAATCTTTACAGGAGCAGATCGTTGGGTCTTTTCTCCCAAGGAGCTGCTGGTGGGTTCGAACTGCCAACCTTCTAATCGGCAGTTGAGTGCTTAACCATTGCACTACCAGGGCTCCTTTATTATCTCTTAAAGGATTATTATTCCATTTATTGACTAGGAAATTTATTGTTCCCATTATTGTTTAAAGGGAATCTGAATTAAAAATTTAATTTTTATTCTTCTTAACTAGAAGCCAAAAGTCAATAAATAAATATTTAACATTTTTTCCATGTATGTAATCTAATTATGGGTTTGATGCCCTTGAGGGTCTTATACCATCTCCTGTGTGTTTTTACATAAATTGTCTGGAAACAAAATCAGTCTTACTTGTATTTGTCCAGAGTCATTGGAAGAACAGCTGTTGGCAGTTGCGTGGAAGTAATAGGGAAAAAAGGATGATGGGGACTACCCAAGTTTAGAGATTAGCAAGCTGGTAAGAGTAGAAGGGAATCTTTTTGAAATGATTGTCTGTGACTGGAGATTACTAAGGGTGGAGAATATGTCTGCTTGGTTGGTGAATGTGGATGAGGTAAGAACATAGGAATGTATTGACGGAGTAGGGCTATAACATAGTTAAACTGCTTTTTAAAATTTTTTATTTTGAGGCCTTTGATTAATATTTAGTTTGGGTTTTAGGCTTTTCATGATACAGGATCTTTTCCAATTCTGGCGTGTGTCTCAGGGATCATTTTAGTGTACTCATAGCTAAACAGGAGTTTCATTCTTACTCCTAGAAGGAAACCTTGACTGTTGAGAGAGTTATAATTAGCTAAATGGAAGGAGACGCATCAGTGAGAGAAGGTGGAGAGATAACCATCCATCTACTTTATATAAAGATTTCAAGAAAATCATTTACACATTCTTATAAGGATTTAGATTTTTGCATGTGGTATTGATTCTTGAAAAAATAATTATAAAAAGTTATGGGACTTCTTCCTGGGGATTGGTTAGAGAAGGTGAAGTAATCACTTACTTTTTCTTCTAACATCATCATAGACAAGATCAAGTAATGGTAAGTATTCCAATGAGTTTTCTGAGAAGTATTCCTTTACATGAAAGAAGAGTTTTTCAGCAGAAGGATTTAACGAGTAGGAAGGGTTTTTAAGACTTCCATCTCCTAGAGGGCAGGAAAACTGTTATTTTGTACAATGAATATCAGAGTGCCATGTACGTTAGACACTTCATTTGTTTTTATATAATGATAATGTGAGACGGAGTCAGAGAACCCAAAATTAATATAGTCTAAATTTGTATCATTATTTTTGCTCAATCACTTCCATTGTATACACAAGATAGTTAAACGACAGCATGAAGTAAATTTTCATAAATTAACTTCATCGTGTTAAGCTATTTAAAATAATTGCATGTTTTTAATGCCGGTAAAGCATCATCACCCAAATTATTTAAGTATGCAGTATATAATTAAAGGTAGTATAAGTTTCATGAATGAGGAATCAGCTAATTTCTTATTTAACTTTTAGGTAATTTTTTTAATATTCTGGTATTAAACGAGGTCCACACGTTTGTGGTGAAAGCTGTGAAGCAGTATTCAGAGAATGCAACATTACAAATCTCGGCACTCAGCTGTTTAGCACTCCTCAGTAAGTAACTTTTACAGAAAAGAAAATCCTTAGAGGTGCATTTGGTCTTGATGTTAACATGATAACAAGAACGTCATAGGTAGAGAAAGAAGTATTAAATGGCTTTTCAGTCTCAATGTGACTCATTTTCCAAAAGAGTTTCCAAGGAAACTAACAGTGATGACAAGTACACATATCTTTGTCATATGGCGTTTTGCTTTAAATCCTTGATTTAGCTTGTAACTGAGCAGCTAATCTTCTGTTAATTCTCCCCTCTAGTTTATTAGTTTTGTTTGGTACCCTCTCTTCATTTTATCATTTGTCTAGATGGGATGGCACTATTATATGGCATGTAATATGTTAGAGGAGTCTCTGGGTGGTGCAAATTGTTAACGTGTTTGACTGCTCACCTTTGAAAGGTTGGAGATTTGCGTCCACTCAGAAGTGCCTCAGAAAAAAGGCCTGGCAATCTACTTCCAAAATTCAACCACTGAAAACCCTCTGGAGCACAGATCTACTCTAACACACATGGGGTCATCATAAGTCAGAATCGACTTAATTGTAACTAGTTGGTTGGTTGGAATATATTAGATATATAATATAATTTACTATGGCCTCTGCTAAAAAACAGCTCACTCTTTTGATAAAGTTTCAAAAATATAAACTTGGAGTTGATCATTCAAACTGTAATTAAATTGTATGTATGTTTTTTAAGCTGAGACCATTTTCTTAAATCAAGACTTAGAGGAAAAGAATGAGAATCAGGAGAGTGATACTGAAGAGGAAGAAGATAAATTGTTTTGGCTGGAAGCCTGTTACAAAGCATTAACGTGGCATAGAAAGAACAAGCACGTGCAGGTTGGACTCTTTTGTAAATACCATGGTTATTCAACAGTATGTTTGTACAACAATTTATGTTTTTACGTGTTTCTTATTTTTCCTCTCCTAATCCAGGAGGCCGCATGCTGGGCACTAAATAATCTCCTCATGTACCAAAACAATTTACACGAGAAGATTGGAGATGAAGATGGCCAGTCAGTGGTTTTTATTTTATATGATAAAATATATGATATATTATTTTATGTGATAAAATGCCCAGTTGTATTTCTGATTGATGCATATAAAATACCTTAACTGTAATTTTATTGTTGGAAATATTTCTGATATCATCATTCATGTTTTGAGTGTTGCCACAAAATAGTAGTAGATATATATATTTTTATCTCATTGTCTTCAATAGTTAGAAAAAGATGGTATGTTTGAGAGTTATTACTGACAGATTTGGAATCAAGTGTAATTCAGTAATTTATGAAATGTAGAGGAAAGTATTTCATTTTTCTGGAGAACTATTTTTTAAAAATGCTCTATGGATTAATCTCAGGTGATAGAGACTGCAGAGCCATCTGTGACCTTTTCTACCGCTGTGAATTGTCAGCAGATTGTCAATATCAGGAATTAGATTTGGTTTGAAAGCCTCCTACAGCGATTCCTCACCTGATTTGGCAGTTTTGACCTGTCTTCTGGGGAGAAGTTTGTTTGAAGCTGTCCGCTCTTGAGGAGGCTTTCAACAGCAGTTGCTATTCAAACATAGTACAGGAACCTTCCTCCCCAAGATACAAAGTGTAACCAGGGGTTCTGTGTGTATCAAATTTGTTTCATGTCTGGGAGACTTTGTGTTTTAGGGCAACTGCTTATATTCTTGCCAACTGCTTATATATGTGTTGTTTGATCTGGTTATCCTCTGGGTTTTTAAATTGGAATAATTTACCTCAGAAACTTAAATAATAATATTTTACGTCTCAAATCTTGACAGCCTATTTGCATAGTTATCTTTATGCTGTCTCACTGCCAGTAAAAAGGGAAGTAATGACACAGATGCTATTTAATTAAATGTCTCCATTTTGGGAAGAAACAGTAATTCTTTAGAAAAGTATATGTTGAACTAGCATCCTAATTATCCCACAGTGAGCAGTCTATTTAAGAGGTTAGGGTAAGAGAGATTGAAGTTGCAGTTTATAAATTTCAGTTCAGAGCACTTAACCTCAGCATTGATAGGAGATTTTAAAAACTTACCTATTACTAAAAGAAAATATTGTGTGTTCTATACCTTTAAGACCTTTCAAGGGGGTTTAAACATTTATGAACTTCCAATTTTCCTTTCTTGCTTTTGTCTTTGTTACTTATAAATGTTCTATTCCTGTCTTATCTTCCATTAACCTTCTTTTTCTCACTTTACCTTTTTTTCCCTAGCAACTGTTTTTATATTTGCTGAGACTTCTTTTCTTCTACTGCTTATCAGCTTTGGAGAAACATAGAAATACTAATTTTATTAGAGTTTAATGAATTTGAATCTAACTTTTAAATTTAAAAATATTTAACTACAACTCACTCTTGTAAGTGAAGGTGGCACAAAGTAATATTTCTATGCCCTTATTTGTTATTAGATTAGATAATGATAAGTGAATATTTGAGCGAATTATTAAAAAGATTGCTGTTAATACTGTGGTTGAATTTGTGAAAGGTTCCCAGCTCATAGGGAAGTGATGCTGTCCATGCTGATGCATTCTTCATCAAAAGAAGTCTTCCAGGCATCTGCGAATGCATTGTCGACTCTGTTAGAACAAAACGGTAAGGGGTACACTATACTTTTAATAAAGGGAAATGCATTTTGTGGTTATGTTTTATTATAAAAGTAATACAGTGTAAAAATTTTAAATACATAGACACATATCTGATATATAGACAAATTGATAAATATATGAGGATAAAGAAGAAAACAAACATTTTAATGTATCTTCTTCCAGACTTCTATGTTTGTACCCATACACTGGCATAGATAGTATAATTTTTGCAGAAATGGAATTGTATTATACTCTTTTATAACCAGATTTTACATTTTCTTTATGTGAATACATGTAGATTCTCACATTATCCATTGTGATGGTTGTGTAGTTTTCCTGTATATGCCTACATCCTATTTTATGAACCAGTTCCTTGTTGATGAACTTTTAGCCTATGTCCACTGTTTTTCTTTCCTTTATTTGCTTTTTAACCTGTAGAAAACACCAGATGGTCACTTTATTTATTTATTTATTTTCCATTTTCCTTTATGCACTGTTCCAGTTATTTTCTTAGGAAAACTTTCACGTAATGCAACTGGATGGAGAGATATATACCACTGTAAAATCTGGTAAAATTGTCCATTATAAAATTTTTATACCACTATGTTTCTCTCAAAATGACGCTTTACATGTAAGTCTTATAAGTCTGATGAGTAGCTCTCCATTATTAAGGAGAGAAAAATGGCTCATACACTGCTGGAAGAATTCCTGAGGGTTAAGATTGAAAACTCAGGCTGTTTAGATTCCTGTCTCCATAAACAGGAAATGCTGCTGAAAAACTCTGGGCAAAAAGTCATCTTAAAGGCATTGGGACTTGGCATCTCTTGCAGGGTATTTTTTGTAAGGAGGGAAAAAAGAAAAATACTGAAAGCCTGAGACAGAGACCACTTTTTAGTAGAAAACCTAAGTAGAGTGAAAGGAATAAAGAAACCACTTTATGCATGTTTCTTTATACTATTCCTTAAGTCAAATCAAGAGGAAAATTATCTCCTCTTCCTTTCCTTCTTCCTATGCTACCTCTCTGAAGGCACTTTAATAAATGAGCACTGAGAGGCAGACAGGAGTTGCCCTCAGGGATAATGAATCAGAGCAGGAGGGGTAGAAAAGAGACTTGTTATTCTTGAACTTGTCATATTTTACCGTGCAGTTAGAGAGGCCTAGATGGAGATCTCACTCCTGGAAATGACAACTGGACTTTGTTGCTTTTGCGTGGAACACCTTAGAGAGGAGACAGACATCTACCGTGTATAGACAACCCTGTGTTAGCACTGTAATTCTTAAGCACCTGGAAATCTTTGACATGCAAACAAAATTGCTATGACTTTGTAGATTTGGATTGCTATGGTGTCTGAGAATTAATTGCATTTGGAGTCAACCTTGATTTCTTTGTTCAAAGTCAGTTCTCTGCTCTTTCTAGTTGCTTACTTCTTTGTTTCTGGCCAACAGTCAGATAAACTGTCTTCAGATCCCTTCATATTGTCTTTGGAGTTCTGCCTTAGGAAAGCATTAAGAACTTGAGCAGCTTGTTCATCAACCTCTGTGGGCAATTCTTCACTGAAAGATACTTGGGGACATTGGGTGTGCGGAACTGGGTATGGTTTTTCTTGAATTAATGACCGGATTGTCAGCCAGGAGAGCTGGAGAGCTGGGCTCACCCTGGTGACTTCAAAGCCAAGTCTCAGACATCTTTTGTGACATTTTCCTTAATTAATTCAGTTAATATCTATGGACTCCAATTATGTGTCAGACAATGCTCTTGGCACTTGGAATACATCCCAAGTTCATGGAGCTTAAACTTTAGTGGGTAGATAAAGA